GAAGGCTGAGGTGGAAGGATCACCGGAGCCCAGCAGGTCGAGGCTGCGGTGGCCGGGTGCTGCCACTGCACTCCAGTCTTGGCGACAGAGTGAGACTCCAACTCAAAAAAAAAAAAAAAAAAAGTTTATTTGAGCCAACAGCGGCTCACGAATTGGGAAGAGCTCAAACAGGGTATGTTTTGGGATCCATGAGAGGGCCTTAAGGGAAAGGCTTGTGTAAGGTGCAGGAGGAAGCAAACCACATTCAATACGTGACCGGGTGCAGTATTGTAGTCCCCTTATTTTGACTATATATATACAGGCGGGTGCTTCCTGGTTATGTAATCAGAGGTTAATTGAAGGTTTGTGGTTGGTTAAGACCAAGTTTTATTTCCCTTTAAGTTATTACTTTACAAAAAATGCAAGAGTTTGCATTTAAACTTTTTAAGGTAGGAACCTAGGGCACTACAGCCACTTCAGTCTAATTGCCTCCTACTTAATTATTTATAACACTCTACAGTGAAAGTGATTTTTCTCTGCACTTTTGGAATATATGTCAAACAGGGTCTCAAATCCACTACTCTGTCACCCCAGCTTAACCCTAACACTTCTAGAGCTTGCAGTAAAATCCTACATTTCCAGTTCTTTTCTCACATTCTCAAATGCCAACTTCCCCTCTTCCATTTATAACGTTATCAATTATTTATCCTTTCTTGTACCTTTTAAACAGACATGGTATTTCAATTGTTTCTTGTCTTTAGTTTTAAAGAGCAGTGACTGGCTATTAGCATATTTGTTTTCTGTTTATGAACCTTGCACTTGAGAGGAAAGCAGAGAATAGTCACCTGACTCTCCACTGTAAAAATTCTTTGTACCTCTCCTTTTATCTTCCCTAGGTGTACACACCTCATCAGAATGCCTTTGGGTTGAGGCCCTCCTTGGAAACTTTACATGGTGATATGTCCTCAGCCATCCTCCTGTCTTTTTCTGGTCCTGAGTTTCAGAACTCTCTGGGATGACCCAAGATGCCCACAGTGACCATGTCTCTTGGAGTGTCTAGTGAATATCAGCCCTGGGTCATCTCCTACCAGTGAACAGCCTGAGGTATGGGGTGGAGCCTTGCAGGGGAGCAGCTGGATGCCCTGTGGTTGAGAGGGCTCTCCTAGTGTACCCTTCATCTGGAAAGCAAACCACTTGGGACCTTAAGATTGTCTTCCCCCAGCCCTAGATTCCATTCCTCGGAGGCACATTGGTATGCAGCCAACTGGTTGCTGGTATTGATGGGAGAGGTTTCTTCTCATTTAAAACTAAGTGGATAACCTTGACTGGGAAGCAGAAATGTGAGTTTAGTGACTACAAGCTAAAGGAGGTAATTGAAGGATTCCTGAGGAGCCTTATCTATGGGTATCCTAGCCTGCTCACACCAGCCCTGGAAGGAGCCTTCATAGCTGAAAGAAGCTTAAGAACCTTGGACAGTGGAGTCCACAGGCAGAGATGGTTGGGGTTGAGATGGAAGAGAGGTGTGTGATGTCCTTTCTGAGGATGTAATTGATGTCCTTGGTGTGTTTCCAGACATTGTCAAATAGAATGAATTCAGAATTAAGTAAGAATGGACTTTATTCTAATGGGGTATTGCAATGGGGGAAACACCAAGTGTAGGATCCTCGAGAATCTCAAGGTGGCAGAAAGGGGCTTTCTTTTCTAGGGAAGACCTAATAAGATTAGAAAGAAGGTGAGAGAGGGTGGGCAAGATGGAGGGTGGCAAAATCAGATCCCTGATCAGAGAATGTTTTACCCTGAAGCCAGCTTGTTCTTAGGAGGGGTGTAAAGAAGGATTGGGAGGCTGAGGCAAGAAGATCTCTTGAGGCCAGAAGCTCAAGACCAGCCTGGCAGCATAGCAGGACCTTGTCTTTACAAAAAAGAAAGAAATTAGCCAGGAATGGTGGTGCATACCTGTAGTCCTAGCTACTGGGGAGGCTGTGGTGGGAGGATCACTTGAACCCAGGAGTTTGAGGTTACAATGAACTATTAGCATGCCACTGCAGTCCATCCTGGGTGACAAAGTGAGGCTTCATCTCATTTATGTAATTATATGTGTAATAATTCTTATTTTCATGTGATTATATATTGCTTTTTACTGACTGCCACTGGTCTTGAGCATTTTTTGTATGTGGTCCTTTATCTTCTGTGAAATAGTTTTCAGTAATTTTCTTACCTGGAATCTTTTTGTATGGTTATTGCTTTTCTCTTTTTTTTTTTTTTGTAAAACATACTCTGAAAATATACTCATAAATCCATGTTTATGTGTAAGGACTGTAAATATTTTTGTACAGGTTGTGTTTAGCTTTTTTTTTTTTTAACTTGGCTTTTTGCTTTTTATTGTGGTAAAATATTACAATATAAAATTTGTTATTATAGCCATTTTTAAGTATACAATTCAGTGACATTAACTACATTCATAATATTATGCAAAAGTCACTACTATTTATTTCCAGACCTCTGTATCACCCCACACAGAAACTCTATACTGAAACAGTGATTCCCATTTCCACCAACCCAACCCTGGCAATCTCTAACCTGCTTTCTGTCTCTATAAATCTGCCTATTCTAGATGTTTCATATAAATAGAGTCATACAATATTTGTTCTTTTTGTGCCTGGCTTCTTTCACTTACATAGTGTTCTCAGGGCTCCTCTGGGTCATAGCATTAGTAAGAACTTTATTCCTTTTTGTAGCTGAATAACATTTAGAGGATTGTTTTAGTCTTAACATCTTTCTGTACAAAAATGTGTAGCGCCACCCAGTTATCCTGTGAGTCATTTTCCAGCCTGGCATTTAGGGTCCTGTTTGTCTTGTCCAGCCCTGGCTGCTATGATGCCCTTTTACACTGAAGCCACTATTGAGTCATGAATAGTCACAGCCAATCTGCTTTCCAGTGTTATCACCCCCAGCTTTGCAAATCACGTATTATTGATGATTTTTTTTCTTTAATGTATATATTGTTTGAGTCAGGGTCTTACTCTATTGCCCAGGCTGGAGTGCAGCAGCATGACCATGGCTCACCACAGCCCCCACCTTCTGGTCTCAGACGATTCTTCCATTTCAGCCTCCTGAATAAGGGGGCCTACAGGCACGTGCTACCACATCCAGCTAATTTTTTAATTTTTTTGTAGAGATGATGTCCTGTTATGTTGCCTAGGCTGATCTTCAGTATTTTAATTAACCTTTTAATTCAAAAAGGAAAAGATTTTGTACTGCCAATAAATTATTCTATTCATGAAATGTACTAGTAATTAAGCTTGTAAATTTTTTGAAAGAACCCTGGGTTTTATTATTTTTTTATTTTTATTTTTTTAAACATATTTTTTATTTTAAAATTGTGGGATATAGTTAAGGGTTAGGTATACAGATATGCATCGTTCAGGCACCCTTGTTGATAAGGGGTGTCTCCTTGTCCCCAGAGAGATATTGACTACCATCAATCCCACCTCCCTTCTCCTCCCTATCCCCCCCCATAGTTTCCCACCACTGTCAATCCTTTTCTGATAGTATTATGATAGATGTTCAAGGTCCACTATATGAGTGAGAACATGTGATACTCAGGTCTTTGTTTCTGTGAGAGATCACTCAGTATTATAGACTCTAGTTCCATCCAGGTTGCTGCGAAATTCATGATTTTGTTCTTTTTATGGCTGTGTAGTATTCCATCGTGTCTATGTACCACATTTTTTAAATCCAATCCTCTTTTGATGGACAGCATGGTTGGTTCCAGGTTCTTGTCATTGTGAACAATGCTGCGATAAACATACGTGTGCAGGTATCTTTTTGATAGAGTGATTTGAGTTCTTCAGGTTATATTCCCAGTAGGGGGATTGCGGGGTCATATGGGAGGTCGATATTTAGGGCTTTTAGGAATTGCCACACTGCTTTCCACAGAGGTTGCACTAATTTACACTCCTACCCACAGTGTAGAAGTGTTCCCTTTTCACCACACCCTCTCCAGCAACTGTTATTTTTTGAGTTATTGATAATTGCCATTCTGACTGGAGTTAGGTGGTATCTCAGTGTGGTTTTGCATCTCCTTGATGATTAGTGAGGTTGAACATTTCTTCATGTATCTGTTGGCTGCTTGAATGTCTTCCTTTGAGAAGTGTCTGTTTATATCTTTTGCCCACTTTGTAGTAGGTTTGTTTGTTTTTTTCTTTTCACCACGTTTGAGTTCCTTGTAGATCCAAGATGTTAGGCCTTTGTCAGACCTGGAGTTGGCAAATACTTTTTCCCCGTCTGTGGGCTGTCTCCCTGCTCTCTTGATGGTTTCTTTGGCTTTGCAGAAGCTTGTCAGTTTAATGAGGTCCCACTTGTCTATCTTATCTCTTATGGCCCATGTGTTTCGAGTTTTGTTCAGGAATTGGATGCCAGTTCCAATTTCCATAAGGGTGTGTCCTGCATTTTCTAAGGTTCTTATGGTTTGAGGTTTTTCAGTTAGGTCTCTGATCCATTTAGAGTTAATTTTTGTGTATGGAGATAGATAGGGGTCTTGTTTGAATCTTCTGCATGTGGTCAGCCAGTTTTCCCAGCACCATTTACTGAATAGGTTCTCCTCTCCTGCATGGTAGTGGTGGAGGCTTTGTCAAAGATGAGTTGATTGAGAAATAGAGGTTTTGCTTCTGGAATCTCGATTCTATTCCATTGGTG